CCCGAGGGGGGATGGCCACGCCACAATCCCTTCTCCTCCATTCTCCTCTCGGGATCTTGGGCACACACGCACACGCGCCCAGCGTGAGTTTTAAGTCACCGGGTCCGGGACGCGAACCACGGTCGACTACGTGGGAGTCCAGCAACATAGCCATTACGCTAACTGCTGGTTCCCTCCCTAGGGACCCTCTTTTCAGCCATGGCCTCAGATAGGAGATGGCTTTGACTCTCCCACCTCTTAGACTTTGGGGTATGGACACCCACAGCAGACAAATAGCTGCCCAAACTCCCAAGGGCCCTGAAATGGAGAGTTCTCATAGCTCTGCAGACCACAGGGCATGGACTAGCCTCACCTCACCTAGTGGGCGATCCCACCCGATCCAACCCCAGTGCAGCCCGGGTGGGTGGTTCGGCCTTGGGCTTCTGGTGCTATGCCCCCTCCACTCACGGCCAGGAAGGCTGCCCCACTGCTAGCAGGATGCCTGGTATCTGCTTCCAAATCAAAACCCTGGCCTGGTCCCAGACATGGACCCCGGATGGGTTGGCATGATACCTGGAACGGGATTAGTAGGTTCACTGTGTCCCCAACCTTCCGGATGTAGGTCTGCCTCAGGGCCCGAGGTAGCCAGATCTTGGGGAGTTCTGAATGATGGGGAGACAGAGGATAGAGAAGCGTACTCAGGGGTGAGGACTGCATCCAGATCTGGCTGTGCTTGGGCAAGTGGCCCAGGCACTGTTACCCGGTTCAGCTCTTCTCCTAGGGAGTGAGTGCTCCCATCCTTGCTGAGGGATTCAGACGATTGATGGCCGAGGAATCCCCCGGAGCACACTGGGGTCTCGGCAGGAAGATCACTGGAGCCTGAGTCTGACACATTTTTATCGCTCTCAGCGACTGACTTTCCATCAGCCCAACTACCAGCTTGTCTGTGTAGTTTATCTTTCTGCCCCTTTTCTGCATTTGTCTTTAATAACATTCCTTTCTCAAGGCCACTTTCTTTTTTTGTTTGTTTTGTTTTGTTTTGGTTTTGGAGAGGTTTTCACTATAGGGCGCGTGCGCTCACCAGACAGAGAGAGACAGAGACAGAAAGCGAGAAATCACCCCCCCAGGGGGGATGGTCACGCCGCAATCCCTTCTCCTCCATTCTCCTCTCGGGATCTTGGGCATGCATGCATATGCGCCCGGCGTGAGTTTTAAGTCACCGGGTCCAGGACGCGAACCACAGTCGACTACGTGGGAGTCCAGCAACAAAGCCATTACGCTAACTGCTGGTTCCCTCATGCTGACCTCCCAGCTCTCATTCTGCACGCAGAGCCAACACCCCCACGCCAGAGACGCCTGACATCGGCGCAGAGGGAGCTGCATCTCTCCTGGGCGCCTGCACGATGCTCTTCCAGCTTGTGGAGAATCACAAGTTCAAACAGAATGTGGGAAAGATTAGGTCTGCCACTCCTTTCCCCCGGCCTGCCAGGCCTGTCCCAGTGAGAAGTGGAGGCGAGGTGATATTTATGAGCTTCCAGGATGAGGACAGGAGAGGCTCGAGAACGTGCAGCGTGTAAGCTTCGGAGAGGGACCTGGCGTGGTTTCTCTCCTCTTGGGTGTCTCAGGCTGCCTTGGCTGCCCAAGTACAAACCTCCCACCTGGGGTCCCCGGGGGCCTGACGAGACTGACACTGTTCTCTGGCCTATGTCTCCTCTTTTCTCAAGCAGAGACAGTCCTCTGGTGCTGTTGTCCTCACTAGAAAGTGACGGGGCCTCAGTTCCCATCACCAACCCAGCCCTCCCTGCCAGGATTCATTCCTCGCAGTTGGGAAAACTCCACCCCGGCACATTCCTGTGGGAAACAGCATGACTGCCTGATAGAGGATTCCAGACTTTCTGATAACACACATTTCCCTGTGAGTGCATTCCTGAGCAGTCACCCCAGCTTATGTGGAGAAGCGTACTCAGGGGTGAGGACTGCATCCAGATCTGGCTGTGCTTGGGCAAGTGGCCCAGGCACTGTTACCCGGTTCAGCTCTTCTCCTAGGGAGTGAGTGCTCCCATCCCTGCTGAGGGATTCAGACGCTTGATGGCCGAGGAATCTCCCATCCTTGCTGAGGGATTCAGACGATTGATGGCCGAGGAATCCCCCGGAGCACACTGGGGTCTCGGCAGGGAGATCACTGGAGCCTGAGTCTGACACATTTTTATCGCTATCAGCGACTGACTTTCCATCAGCCCAACTACCAGCTTGTCTGTGTAGTTTATCTTTCTGCCCCTTTTCTGCATTTGTCTTTAATAACATTCCTTTCTCAAGGCCACTTTCTTTTTTTGTTTGTTTTGTTTTGTTTTGGTTTTGGAGAGGTTTTCACTATAGGGCGCGTGCGCTCACCAGACAGAGAGAGACAGAGACAGAAAGCGAGAAATCACCCCCCCAGGGGGGATGGTCACGCCGCAATCCCTTCTCCTCCATTCTCCTCTCGGGATCTTGGGCACGCATGCATATGCGCCCGGCGTGAGTTTTAAGTCACCGGGTCCAGGACGCGAACCACAGTCGACTACGTGGGAGTCCAGCAACAAAGCCATTACGCTAACTGCTGGTTCCCTCATGCTGACCTCCCAGCTCTCATTCTGCACGCAGAGCCAACACCCCCACGCCAGAGACGCCTGACATCGGCGCAGAGGGAGCTGCATCTCTCCTGGGCGCCTGCACGATGCTCTTCCAGCTTGTGGAGAATCACAAGTTCAAACAGAATGTGGGAAAGATTAGGTCTGCCACTCCTTTCCCCCGGCCTGCCAGGCCTGTCCCAGTGAGAAGTGGAGGCGAGGTGATATTTATGAGCTTCCAGGATGAGGACAGGAGAGGCTCGAGAACGTGCAGCGTGTAAGCTTCGGAGAGGGACCTGGCGTGGTTTCTCTCCTCTTGGGTGTCTCAGGCTGCCTTGGCTGCCCAAGTACAAACCTCCCACCTGGGGTCCCCGGGGGCCTGACGAGACTGACACTGTTCTCTGGCCTATGTCTCCTCTTTTCTCAAGCAGAGACAGTCCTCTGGTGCTGTTGTCCTCACTAGAAAGTGACGGGGCCTCAGTTCCCATCACCAACCCAGCCCTCCCTGCCAGGATTCATTCCTCGCAGTTGGGAAAACTCCACCCCGGCACATTCCTGTGGGAAACAGCATGACTGCCTGATAGAGGATTCCAGACTTTCTGATAACACACATTTCCCTGTGAGTGCATTCCTGAGCAGTCACCCCAGCTTATGTGTGTTTACTCAGAGTGAACTGCTTAAATATGTACATTAGATGAGAGGTCTTTGAAAAACTCAAAGAAAATGTGTATTATGAAGAAACTACACATGGATTTCAAAAAAAAATTGCACCAAAATAAATTCATATTTTAATTTCATTCTTCCATAAACTTTTTAGTTTTATTTTATTTTATTTTATTTTATTTTTTTTGCCATAGGGCACATGTGCTCACCAGGGAGAAGCAATGAGAGGAAAAGTGAGAAATCACTCATGGGGCGTATGGCCACGCCACAATACCTTCTCCTCCATTTTCCTCTGGGATTTTGGGCACACACTCACAAGCTCCCGGTGCGGAGGTCAAGGCACTGGATTCCACATGGCCTATTGCACAGTTCAAGTCCCATACCCAGCAGCTTGGAAATCACGCTGGGCATAGGTGCATGCATGCCCAAAATCCTGAGAGGAAACTAGAGGAGAAAGGACCGCAGCATGGCCATCCTTCTGGGGGCGAGTTCTTACTTTCTCTCTCTGCCTCTGGTGAGCACATGTGCCCTAAAAAAAAAAAAAATTAAAATATCCTTTTATATAATGCAAACATAATTTTTAAAAGTTTCTTCCTTACTTTCATGAGCGAGAAAAACAGAGAGACAGCATCCTCAACAGGGTCTTGGTGCCACAATCCACCCCAGCTTCACCTCACCCAGCCCGGATCTTGGACAGCCTGTACCTGGCATATCTCAGGGAGGTCTCCAGACATGAACCTGGAACATTCCCAAGTGAATCGGTCTCGCAGAGCACCGTATTTTACCAATTCAACACTGTCAAGCCCAGTTATAATGAAAAAATGTTAATGATGAAATTTAGAATAAATGGAGGCTCTAGGTTCTTCCTAGATCTGAATTTGTAGACTGTTGTCTAGAGAAATTCACTCCCATAGTCCCTTGCATCATGATCTCAAGATCACTTGTCCTTTCTAGCTCGCTCTGTTGCAGTGTGGTAGATGTTTTCCTCTGTGCTGTGCTGGTCTTGGAGGGCGCCTCAGGAGCTACATGAGAAGGGGACGCGAGTGTTCCTTGTGCCCATCCTCGTGTCCTGGCCAAGGCTTGACCGTCTTGGTAAGAACAGCGCAGCGCCGGAGCCCAGGCAGCTGAGCCTGCTCCCCTCAGCCTCCTCTCCACATCGGCCACTGGGAGGGGCGGGCGAGGAACAGAAGCGGCTGTGTTGTGCTCCTTGCCTGCGGCCATTTGGCAGGCAACCAAGGCGCTGAAAACAGGCGGATGTGACTTCAGCGTTTTTTGAAAAAGAGGGTCATAATGGGAAAGTAGTGTCCAAACCTCAACTTGTTGGACCTGTTCCCCACTGCTGGGTGGGGAATAACCTTTTGTATCTGCTGGTCAGAGGGCTGGAGAGGAGGAGAGCTGCCTTCTCTCTTTGGAGATACCTGCAGAATGGGGGACTGACGGAGGATCCTGGTGAGCACTGAGAGCAGGAAAAGATGGGAAGAAATGAGGCTAGGGGAGAGCAACTGACTTGCTGGCAAGGTCCTGGCTGGTTGGAGGTGTACCTGGCGCTGCAGACTCCTGCCTCCCCACCGAGGATTGTTCTCTGAGCACAGCCTGACAGTCCGCTCGCCAGCCCTCGGTGTCTATTTGGGACTGGCCAGCACAGAGGGCTCTGACAGTGACCTCACCTAGAGAAGGGCCGCAAGGAAGGGAAGGCAGAGGGGTCTGCTCAAGGACCAGAAGGGAGGAGGTGAGGGAACCAGCAGTTGGCGAAATGGCTATGTTGCTGGACTCCCATGTAGTCAACCACGGTTTGAGTCCCGGACCCGGTGGCTTAAACTCATGCTGGGCACCTGTGCGTCGTGCCCAAGATCCTGAGAGGAGAATGGAGGAGAAGGGATTGCAGCGTGACCATCTCCCCAGGGGGTTATTTCTTGCTTTCTGTCTGTCTTTCTGGTGAGCACATGCACCCTATCTGTGCACATCCCCCCTCTAACAAAAACCCCAAAAAAAAAAAAAAAAAAAAAAAAAAAAAAGGGAGGAGGTGAGGAAAGGCCCCAGAGCCTGCAGGCCTGGAAGATGTGTCTGCTGAGCTCTGTTCTGGAGACCTTGGCTAGGACATGGGCTGTGGTGCCGATGTGTGAGGGGCCTTCAAAAGGTCCATGGCAAAATAGAAGCATACATGCACTTTGGTGCAAACGGTTTTGAAGCCTTGCATAACTTTGTCATAAGATTGTTCTCCATGGACGTTTTAAAGACCACTTGTACTTATTTCCGTCTAGTGTTTCTTAGAAAAATACTTAGGAAAATGTTAGCATTCTCCTAACCTGAACTAGAGAGAAAAACTGAAGACATAGGTTTATGGGGAACCTAAGTCGAGGTGGGGGAGTTAGGGGAGGATGACCAGAATGGCC